AGTCTCATGGACTTCCTTCCCCCTGCTGGCTTTGAACTGCCATCCTCAGATCTCAGCTTCCTGAGTAGCTAGGTGTGAACCACCCATGCCTAGCACGTTTTTTTTTTAAATTAAGTTGAAAAGTATCCTTAAGTCATCAGTAGAGACTTGGAATGTTTGCTAAGTATGTGTGGATGGTTAGGGAATCTTTTGAGGTATTCGTTAAAATATTTCATAAACTTCAGTATTTAAATTGGAAAAGATCTTTTATTTAAGTCTTTTTTTTTTTTTTAAATCCAGTAGTGGGGCTTTAACTCAGCCTTACCCTCTTATTTCACTTGTTTACTTATGGCTCTCTACCATTTGAGCCAAGCTTTCAGCTGGGCTTTTTGCTGGTTAATTGGAAATGAAGTCTTGATGACTTTTCTGCCCAGGAGATACTCTTAGGTCTCAGCCTCCTGATGAAATGTGATTACATGCATGATTCATCTGCACCTGGCTGACAATACATTTTAATAGTAACATTGAAGATTTAATGTACTCACTTTCTATATTAGTCTATCAATAGATCATGCCCAGTAAGTTGTTTTATGTTACTGCATGTCATGGCTTTATTTATTAATGGTATTATATGTTTATCTTTGATTTTCTATGAAAATTTATATTTTAGAACTTAGATTTTTTTTTTTTAGTGCTACGTGTCAACTAATTTATGCCACTAAAAATGGGGGAATACTTCGGGTTCTTATCAGGCATTGGATCAAATTACACAGCTGTTTATTCTTAATGGCTTTGCTATTTATTATTTTAAATTCTGTATATGCCCTCTGAATTTGCATAGTATTAGATTTAAACCATTTGTTCTTTCTTTTTAGGGGCTTCACAAAGGTCAGAGTTCACATTTGGCAGGTCCTAATGGTGAACGACCTCTCTCTTCCACTGGGCCATCCCAGCATCTCCAGGCAGCTGGCTCTGGTATTCAGAATCAGAATGGACATCCCACTCTGCCTAGCAATTCAGTAACACAGGGGGCTGCTCTCAATCACCTCTCCCCTCACACTGCTACCTCAGGTGGACAACAAGGCATTACCTTAACCAAAGAGAGCAAGCCTTCAGGAAACACATTGATGGTGCCTGAAACAAGCAGGCATACTGGAGAGACACCTAACAGCACTGCCAGTGTTGAGGGGCTTCCTAATCATGTCCATCAGGTGATGGCAGATGCTGTTTGCAGTCCTAGCCATGGAGATTCTAAGTCACCAGGTTTACTAAATTCAGACAATCCTCAGCTCTCTGCCTTGTTGATGGGAAAAGCCAATAACAATGTGGGTACTGGAACCTGTGACAAAGTCAATAGCATCCACCCAGCTGTTCATACAAAGACTGATAATTCTGTTGCCTCTTCACCATCTTCAGCCATTTCTACAGCAACACCTTCTCCAAAATCCACTGAGCAGACAACCACAAACAGTATTACCAGCCTTAATAGCCCTCACAGTGGGCTACACACAATTAACGGAGAAGGAATGGAGGAGTCACAGAGCCCCATGAAAACAGACTTGCTTCTGATTAGCTACAAACCTAGTCCTCAGATCATACCATCAATGTCTGTGTCCATATACCCCAGCTCTGCTGAAGTTCTGAAGGCATGCAGGTTAGTGTGGGAAAGTTCATCACAAAGTGAAAGTTTGTCTGCTGATCTGAATGCTGAAATATGATTTGGATCTTTTCAAATATGGGAAGTAAGCAAAAGGTGGTGTAGTCACTCATCAAAAGTAAGAGGCTGACAAGCTGTATTATGCGTGGATGTTATGGTCCTATTTATTGATGTATCAGAAGTGAAAATATCCCTGTAAAATGCTTAATTTGAAAGGGTGTGTCTGAATGTGCTGTTACTGCCCTCTACTGATTACTAGAGTTGTTGAATTCAGTGTGATTGACTTTGCTTTGGGGACATTTGGCTGAAAAACAGCCTGGAAAACCGTATTACTTGTTTAGGTTTTCATCAGAGCTTATTAAATGTTAGACTAGGAGTTAACCGTGGTGAATAATTATTAAGGCTGATCTCTGTGAGCAGTTGAGAAAAGTGCATTGTTCTGTTTTAATCTCAAAGCGATTATGATGCCAAAGGTAGAGATAAAGGACACTGGAGAGATGTAATAGACGGTCAGCCATTCTGGAAAGAGCAATCATATTCTTGCTAGTCTTGGAAAGACAGGGACTGACAGGACTTAATATGAAATAAGTCTCCTCTGCTTAAAGGAGGAAAAAAATCAAAAGAAGCACCATCTTTCTTTAGTATTAAAGGACATAATCTTTTCTTTTCCTTTTCATGATACTTGGGTTTTTACAGTGTCTTGTCCTCTCACTTGAGCTGCATGCCCAACTCTTTTTTGCTTTAGTTATTTTCCAGATAAGAGTCTCATGTTTCTACCCTGGTATCAGCCTTGGGCTGTCATCGTATGGCTCCCAATCTTGGCTTCCCTAGTAGTTGAGATGATAGGCATATTATTTTTTTATTGATTAATTGATTGATTGTCAGTCTTAATTCTTGGACTCAGGGCTCGGTCACAGTCCTTGAGCTTATTTTGCTCAAGGCTGGCACTCTACCACTTGAGCCACAGTGCCACTTCTGGCTTTTTCTGTTTATGTGGCATGAAGGCAAGCACTGTGCCTCTAAGCCACATTCCCAGCCTATGATAGGCATATTTTCACACCTACCCTGGAAGGCATATGGAGTTGTAATACCTTTTTATACTATTCACAGCAGACATTTGATTTTTTTCATTTACTTATAATTGCTATCCTTTATATGTGATTAAATCTTGAATGAAAGCCAATTAACATTACCTGGAACAAACACAAGAGGGAATTTCACAATGTTTTCTAGTACCTTTATTTGGTTGTAGGTTGTAATAAAATAACATACAAAATTAGCATTTTGTAAGTAAAAAGTCACTAGTTCTAGTTTGTCTATTTTGATCATTTAGTACAGCAATTTTGAAGTTCAAATCCATTTTAACAGCTTTTCTGTGTCTTATTTATTATCTAAAAGTACCATTATCCTTTCTATTCAGATTGTTTTATTAAAAGGTATCATAGGTCCACTGTTTAAAGTCACTGATGCATAGTTGAAATAAGATTAAATTTCATTCCTTTATAGTTTGCTACTTGTGAGGAATATGAAGGTAGGAGTGATAAAGGAAAGAGATTAATTTCAAATGGAGTTCAATTTTATCAGTTGTGATACTGGAACTTTAACTTGAAAAATTATTTGTGGTTGAGTGTTTAAAATACCTTTTGTTGATCTCTGTTTTATTTTCTGTTACTGCTCACTGTTTTCCATCAATTTAAAAACTATTTAGTGGTTTCCTTTAATCTGATATTACATTTTTATTTTCTTTGTCTATTGGTTCCACATTATTACAGTGTTTTCCTCAGTAGCCTACAACATGATGACTACTGTCATTACACAATGCTTTTTTTTTTTTTTTCTTTTCTTTTTTT